CCCCCTTGAGTTGGTAGGCCGCCAATTCCGCCTTCTCACAAGCACCAACATCCATAATGGTCAAGATTTTGCATACCTCATCGATGAACTCTTGCAGGTCCTCATCCACCTTTGAACCATGGAAGACTGGAGGGTTCATCCTCATGAAATGTCTCACCCTTTCCCCCGGGGTGGTAGTTCGAGGAGCTTGGGCTCCTTGTTGCACTTGGTTAGCTACCACTTGTGTAAGCATGGTGAGTGCATCACGGAGCTCACCATTGGTGGGTGGCTCTTCCGGTGATCGGGCCCGTCTTCCCCTCATGTTTGGCATGATGATCTAGCAATCTAAAGAACAAGCGTTAGGGAGGAATCACCTTATCGCACTCTAAGCACGACATAGAACATGAGGAAGGGAAACCTTTCCTAAAACGTTTTGTAGCCTCCCATTCATAGTCGTGGCGCGCTTCACAACCATGATTAGGACTCTACTCAACGCGGTGTGTTGGACTCTGAGGATTTAACAACCTAGTGCTCTGATACCAAGCTTGTCACGACCCAAGCCTAGGGCCTAGACGTGACATGGCGAATGAGGAACCCGAAGGAACCCCAAACAAGCCTCTCAAACTTGTCATCACACTTCATCGGTCGCGGAAGTACATTCAACATTTATTTAATGGGAAATAGGGACTAAGGGCAAACCATTTCAAAATGACATCATAGAACAAGAGTCAAGCTCATTTACAAAATACTTGTCCAACGCACACCTCTACATACACAGATAGGACGGGGCCATGACATACTATCGGCTCCCCTCATAGTCAAAATACAATTGCAAGCTAAAGTCTCAAAACATAGGAGTAGGAAACATAACATATCCCTCGAATCATTGAGGACTCACCAACAACTCGGATAAGCACCGTACTAGCCACGTGAATGGAGAGAAGGATCAAGAGTAGCTCCGGTCCCTACATGGTGACATCATGTAGGCAAAATATGCGTTAGTACTTGGAATGTACTAAGTATGCGGGGTGCAACACAACAACATACAATGACACAATCGAAATACAAGAAATAGTTTCATAGGCATTATGAATAACAATATGAGGATGCATGATCAAAGTGAAGTCAAAACATGTTTAAGTAAATCTATACTAATAGTAGATATCATATGTGTATGCATAATCCAACCAATCTATAACCCCAACTTAGGATGGTGGATGCCGTTCACACCCGGACACCCTGGTGGCAAGGTATAAACCCCTCACATGGTTGATGTTGGTCACACCCCAAGCATCCTAGGTGTTGAGATATAAACCTCTCACATGGTTGATGTTGGTCACACCCCAAGCATCCTAGGTGGTGAGATATAAACCTCTCACATGGTTGTCCGGTTCTTTTCCCCCGGACCGGGCATGGTCATGCAACACTTTATATAGGAAATTTCCATTAGGCTCTAATGCAATCTCACGTATGGAATGAACATATACACAAGCTTAGTTTGTCATCAACACATCTCTGGATTTCCATACATCTCATAACTCAAGCTTTAAAGCATGGATTCATCAATTCTCCATAGTTGGACATTTTGTCAAACACCTTGAAGACATGTAATGGAATCAAAGAGCATGGAAAATAGGGTAGTAATTATGCAGCCAAACCAGTGAACAACCTACAACAACACCTTTTTAACACCCACAATACCACATGAAAATCTCCACATCCATTCCATATTTAGGTTCAAGTTCTAGAGTCACAACATGCTCAAAACAATCACTTTTCATGTTTAAAATTCAATGTGCAGGAAATTATTACAAAGAACAAGACTAATTTATGAATCTTAACTTAAACCATGAATTAGTGAGTAGAATAGAGTCTAGGCACTATGGGTGGAAGGACCCATGAGTTCAACACCACATACCTTGAGTTTTTATGAAGGTCTTGAGAGTGTCTTCAATGGAAGCTTGGAACTTGGAGCAAGAGTCTCTTCAATCTTGAGGAAGGTTTTGGATTAGGGTTCTTGAGAGAACTTGAGAGAAAATGTGTCTAAGTATGGGAGAGGTGTTTTGGGAAATGTTTTAGAGATGGAAATTGAACTAATGGTATATAGGAAATAACATATGCCCTTTGGAAAAATGGTCCAACACTTAGAAAAAAAAATGAGGCGGGTGAACAGTAAAAACGCTCACTGGAAATTTGCCTTTCCTGCCGGACAGATTTTACGAAAATGGGCATAACTTCTTCGTCCGAACTCCGAATAAGGTGAAACGAAGTGCGTTAGGTATCTAATTCAAAGGGCTTTGCATGGATATGTTATTGGCCACCCAATAATTTGTGTTCTAGGAGATATGACCCTCCAAAGTAGACCCTCGAAAAAGGCTTCACTTGGAAATTTCGAATTTTGATACGGTTGCTCTAAAATTTGGGTTAGACCCATTTCCCACTCAATTTGACCCCCTAAAGAAGAATATGAAGTTTGATTGTCGTAAAATGAAACAGATTTTTTATATATAGCTAAACAAGTTTCCGGTAACTTCCGAAGCACATTTTTAAGAACTTTTTGGGTCATTTCAATCACCTACATACAATTAATGAAAATACAAAATAATTTAGCAATTTTGTTGCAAAAGTTCAATGACTTCAATGATATATTTTAAAGTTATCACTCTATATCTACAACAAGCATATAAATTCAATAAGCTTCAAATGACATTAAAAAATAGTATAATTGCAGAAGATATTTGCAGACTGCTTCTGGGAATTATTCCATCACTCCTAGTTCAATTCAACAATTACTCAAAACTAATATATTCCTCACTATGAAAGTCTTAATATATTTACAACAAGAAGAATAATGACTAACAGTAAAGCTATTTTCTAACTAACAGAAGAATAATGACCCAACTGCAAGAGCAATCAGAATAGTCCACATACAGGAGAAACATTGGGTTCAAATTGGAGTGTGTAGAACTTGTTATGCATGGTGAATCCCCTGTAATTGAGATTGAATTAGAGGATATTAGTTCAGAAATTGCCTATTGGAAGACTGCAGTAGCGTGTTATGTGTTGGGATCCCATCCCCCATTTGAAGTGCTGAAAGGATTCATACACAGGCTTTGGTCCAAGCTAGGAATTAACAAAGTGGCGATGCTCAAGAATGGTATTGTTATAGTTCGATTTGACACTGAAGTAGGGAAGCAAGAGGTGTTGCAAGGTGGCATATACCACTTTGACAACAAACCATTTATAGTGAAGGCATGGAATCCTGATATGGAATTTACGAGGGAAGAACTACGCATTGTACCTATTTGGATCAAGCTTCCTGGTCTTGATTTTAAGTACTGGAGTCCGAAAGGACTTAGTAAGATTGGTAGTTTGGTTGGGAAACTTCTAATGGTGGACCATAATACTGAAAGAAAAGTAGGACTGAACTTTGTGAGGCTACTAGTTGAAGTTGAAATGGACACAATGCTGCCAGAGGTGATCCTGTTCAGGTCGAAGAAGGGTAATTTGATAGAGCAGAAGGTGTTGTATGATTGGAAGCCAACGTTGTGTAAGGTTTGTGATAAATATGGCCATTCAGAAGTGAACTATAGGAAGAAGAATACAACTCCGGGCACAAAAAGGGACGAACTGGAAGGAATGGCGACTCGAGTTGGCCAAGATATCCAACCTTCAATTGAAGGAATCATTGTTCAAGAGAAAATATCATCTCCAACAAGTGCGTTGGATCCTCACAAGGCGGACATATTAGATGAGTCTCAGAATAAGAGTGCAACTAATGTTTGGGTCACACCTCTAAAACCACTGAGTCTCAAAGTAAGCAGCCACTACATGTAAAGAGTAAAAACAATTTTCAGGTACTGAACAAAGAGGGTAAGAGTAAGAAGGCTATCAGTAACAGTGAAGGAATAGTGGGAGGCCATCCTAATCCCAACATTGGGAATGGATAGTTGTCTTTGTTGGAATGTGAGGGGCTCAATGGCCCTAATAAACAAAAGGAGGTGAAACTCCTTTGTAATACTGAAAAAATTGGGCTGGTAGGGTTACTGGAAACAAAAATACAAGTAGGGAAGATTGATTTGATAGCTCAGAAGATGTTTGCTGGTTGGCCGTTCATTACTAATCTTGCTTCTCATTACAATGGTAGGATTTGGAAAGCTTGGAGGCCGGATTACTATACAATTACACTAATAGAGGCAACATCTCAGTTGATTACTTGCAAAGTGAGAAGTATTTCTCTGCAACAGAGATTTATCATGACAATGGTTTACGCCTATAATACAAAGTAAGGCAGGAAAGAGTTACGGGATTCTCTTATGGCTTACAACGTCGTTTGTCAAATACCTTGGATGATCCTAGGTGTATCGGCCCCTTGTTTGTTTATGGTATTTTATAGTTTACCAAAAAACATAAATGTTACAGCAGTCCAACATACATTAAAATGCTACAACGAGAAAAAAAAGGGAGATCTCCTAAAACAGTGGTTTATAGAATGATGCTAGCTGATACTTAATAACTCATAGCCGACGAGGTTGATCCTAGAACATACTCAGCTAACCAAATGGCCGACAAGGCCACAATCAGAAGAAATAGGCAATAACAAATCAACAAGACTTTACTCAATAGTCCCTTATAACATAAATGTTACAGCAGTCCATCAGACATTAAAATGGTACAACAAGAAAAAAAAGGGACATCTCCTAAAACAGTGGTATATAGAATGATGTTAGCTGATACTTAATAACTCATAGCTGACGAGGTTGATCCTAGAAAATACTCAGCTAACTAAATGGCCGACAAGGCCATAATCAGAATAAATAGCCGACAAGGCCACAATCAGAATAAATAGCAGACAAGGCCACAATCAGAATAAATAGTCGACAAGGCCACAATCAGAATAAATAGCCAACAAGGCCACAATCAGAATAAATAGCCGACAAGGCCACAATCAGAATAAATAGCCGACAAGGCCACAATCAAAATAAATAGCCGACAAGGCCACAATCAGAATAAATAGCGACAAACCTTGCTCGGCTGTTTGAGCAGAAGTAGCTTCTCTTGGGGAAGGAACAGACAATGCTGCTAGTATGTTAGGATCAATTAATCCTGCATGCTGAAGTTGTGCAACTACATCTGCAATAACTTCTTGTTGCATAGTTCTCCTTTGTTCTTCCATTTGTTTCTCCATTTTTTGCATCCTTTCTTGCATTTGTTGCACTATATCATTTGTTTCATTCAAAGTTGGTTCAAAATTGTCAATTTTCTTTTTCAAAGTTGTCTTTGTAACCCCCACTCCATATAGTCTTAGACGTCCGAGATGTTCTGGACCCATGACGGCTGAAAATGCATCAACAGATTGACCATTTGTGCTCATTTGCTTTTCAATTTCCTCCATTTCAGCCTAACAAAGCATATCCAACAAGCATTCTTGTAAATTCAAATTTAGAATAAATAATTGGTCTCAGTAAAAAAAAAATATTGACAATATTCGTACAATTTTACTAGTTGTGTTCTCATTCGATGCCTTGTACAAACGACCAGGTTTTCTTCTTCTTGTGACCACAACGAGCTCCTTAGCGGATACAAATTCCTTTTCTTTTTCCTAGTCACATAAAAATAGATATCAGGAGTTGCTTAAATGATAGGTTAAGACTAGATAATAAATAAGAGAACACACCAATTTACTACGGATTAAAGCAAAACTCTTTTTGCCTGCTGTGTGTGGATTCATCACCTTTTTCCGGTTCTTAGTATTTGTTTCAGACATTTTCTGCAAATAAATGAATCAATAATAACCAAAGGCATATGGGTGCTACATAATGTACTAGACGAGGTCAATGTCTCAATATTTCTTTTTTAACAAATCCAAGTAAAGAATATGCTTTGTAAGTATGAATGTTATGAAGCTAAAACCAATCTGCAGACCTTAGTTTTGTAAGTTTAAAAGCTTGATTCATAACATCATCAAACATAAATAGAATATGAGTCAAACAAGTGAAAACTTACAACCCAATAACCATAACATTGTTAGAAAGCTTAGCTTACAGTTGCATAAATATGCCAACATTGAAGTCTCTCTTTAAGGTACTCATAACAATTTGTCAACTTTTTATTCAAACCAATTTAGTGAGTAAAACAGGTTAGCACCCCTTAAGATTAGTCATGAGTATGTTTTAAATCATGAGTCAAAAGCACCTAAAAACAGTTTATCCAAAAGGGCACTTAGTTTAGTGAAACCTTGATGCAAATTTCAGCGATCAAACTTAACTAATAAATAAGTTCTTAAGATTTTTTCTTTTTGAGTAAAGAGTTGAACAGGTGACTTTTTATCCTATTACATTTGTATCTTATCAACTTCTAACTGAAATTATTGAGTTTAAACTAAAATAAATAAGAAAAACAATTAGGAACATAAAACTTTGGTTGTTAATCTTAGCTATACAGTGGTGAGATAAGCATAAAAATCTCACTCAATGAACATTCTCTAAGATTGGAGAAAAATCCTCCGTTTTAGTTGTGACTACCAAACTGGAGGAAGTAACAAGCTGCAACAATATTGCAACAGAGAAGAGAAAGTTAAAGAAAAATAAAATTGCAGCAACAACTATTTCACAAAAGAGATCAGGAGAAGAATAAGCTGGATGTTTCATATTCTGAACTACATTTTACCTTGAATTTCTCAAACTTCCAATATTTAAGGAGCTCTCTAAACTGACATTCTGGAATATGACCAGGCTTTTTTGCCATTCGAATTTCATCATTGTCATATGGATCGTAATAATTTATCTTCAAGTCACTTCTATGCCTTCTCCAAGCCTCTCGAATTGTTACCAAAGCCCAATCTTTTGCAGCTTCAGGAATAATGTAATTCTCCTACAATTTGGTGTCATTCAGTTCGCCAATTGAAGTAAAATAATTCTACAAGAAATTAAATATTGCAAACTCCAAACCTTAGTATAATCCCATAAATCCTTTTTAGTAACCATGCTCCTCCAATCAAATATATCAAATGGGCAAAGAGTCGCATTTCTTGCCAATGTACCTAGGAAGCTACTTAACTCTGTCACAACGTCCTCAGTAGGACCAACTGGTTGATTTAGCCTATTCAATAAGATCAATTTACGCTCTTTTCGTGCATGTACATTATGCATTTGCGTTTGACCTCTTGTGTTTTTACTGGAAACACCTTCAGCTATAAGAAAATATAAGAAATTAGAATTCATAGATGAATTTAGTAAGTTTCTAAGTTTATATGTTACATTGTTCTTCAGGTTGTTCACCAGTTGGAGGAGTGACAGAGTTCATTTGCACTTGATCCTCTATAGGTTGCTGCTCAAGAGGTTGCTCACGAGGCTGCTCAAGAGGCTGTTCACGAGACTGCTCCTCTACAGATTGTCCATTAGCTTCAGATTGTGGTGCTACTGGTTGTTGTTCAATTAATTTAAGCAGCTGTCCTTTCTCTGACTCTATAGCTTGAAAAGTTTCATTTGTTGTCAATAGACGTCGTTTTTTATTTGCCAAGAATGATAATGATCCAGGTTTAGCATATGTCTTATTTTTTGCTCTTTTGTTTCTTTTTGAAGACTCTTGTTGACTCATGACTATCCAAATCTGTGTAAAAATAAGACAGAAGAAGCCTCTTAGTGCAGAATTTTCAGATGTGAATAACAAAAACAATGAAAGTGAGAAGAACAAACAACAATAGGATCTGTACTAATATATCTATAGTACCAACATTAGCAAAAAAATATTTCAAAACAAATAAGCAGAAATCAAGCAACTAGCAGTAGCAAATAAATAGAAATCTAAATAGAGTCCAATCGACATTCATACTTTATATGATGCAACTCAAAAAGGTATTTATTACTCACTACAAAAAAATGAAGAAGAGAATGTATTGAACAAGTTAGGAAGATCCTTTGTCAATCATCAGCCTCCATCCAATCCCAATCAGTGTCATCAAAGTCATCCTCCTCTTCTGATGTTAGCATAGTTACATCTTCTGAATGTTGTGCAATGGCAGACAGATCAATGATATCAACAGGGAGATCTTCTCTCGACCATCTAACATCTACATCGAGTACTCTTTCTGATGAACCAATGTCATCGTTAGTCTCTCTCCAAAATGTTTCTTCAATATTAGGACAATTCTCTTCCTCCAAATCATACAAATCCACTGGAACTTTATGTCTTGCATAATATACATTTTTCTCAATTGGGTCTTCCACATAAAAAATTTGATGCACTTGAGATGCTAGTACAAAAGGATCATTCGTGCTGCATTTTTTATTGAAGTATACGCGAGTCAATCCATATTCATCAACTTCATTATGAAACCAATCACATCTAAAAAGTACAACACTAAAGCAACCCCAATAATCAATCTCAATGATATCCTGAATAATTCCATAATAGATAACCATTCCATCGATAGGATTTTGGTCCCTAGCGCTAGCAAAACTATCTGTTGTTGCTGACAAAGTCACTCCACTATTCTGAGTCTTGCAAGGGACATCCCGTGTCTTTGTATGAAATCTATATCCATTAATGAAATATCCAGTATATCTTTTAGCCACAAAATTAGGCCCTTTAGCTAGCCATCTTAAATGACTGGACACTTCAATATTTTTAACTTTATCCCTAAACCAATCACTGAATTCTCTACTTTGGATTTGTGCTTTTACCCACATTTCCTCTAGTACGATTATCAATTAAATTCTTATGTTCCCTGCAAGAATGATATGCAATTTAATCAATCTAACCTTATTAATGGAATTTAAATTTAAAAGCAAATGACTATTTTATCTTACTTGATGAATGTCTCTACTTTTTCATCTCCAGTATTGAACAAAGCATATCGATGAGCTTCAAACCACTCATTATGCTCCATGTTAAAAGTCTTGCCTTTCCTTTTATTCATACTTCCAATTGGATGACCTGTCTTAGGAAATAAAGGTGAAGCATCACCTTCCCCTGTTTGAATGTCCTCATCATCCTTGGTTTAATACCTACTAAATGTTGTCTTCACCATATCAGGTAGGTATCTCGAAATAAAGGTCAAACACTCTATAGCTGAAAAACTCTCTACTATTGCCGCTTCTGGATTTTTTCTATTACGAACAAGCCCCTTGAAGTCACACATAATTCTTTCAGTAGAATACATCCAATGCAAATGAGTCGGGCCTCCAAGCTTAATTTCATCCACTAAATGGATAGGCAAATGTGTCATTATATCAAAAAAGGATGGAGGAAAAATCTTTTCAAGCTCACATTCTATATCTATGATTTCAGCCTTCAGCTTATCAAGATCGCTTCTTCTTATAACCTTACTACATATGGCTCTAAAATAATTCCCCAACCTTATTAAGATCAAAGACACATTCTTGGGCAACACTTTTCTGACAGCAACCTGGATCAAGTAATGTAATATGAAATGAGCACCATGGCTTTTGTATCCTGATACTTTCATATCTTCAATTCGCACACGACTTGATATATTAGAGGCAAATCCTTTTGGTAATTTGGCATCTTTTAAAATAGTGCAAAATAACCTTTTCTCATCTGGTTTCATAGAGAAACAAGCTTTAGCCAAATGAATATTTCCAGTATCACAATCTTTTACCAGTTGAAGCTCTTTGCGTATCCCCATCTCATGCAAGTCATAGCGAAAATTTATATGATCTTTGGACTTTCCAAGTATATCCAATAAAGTCCCAAGCAAACTGTCACAAATATTTTTCTCTATGTGCATCACATCAAGATTATGCCTCAATTTGTTTGTTGCCCAATACGACAACTCAAAAAATATGGATTTTTTTTCCATAGACCATCATTCTTTCATTTTCTTTTCTTTTGGCCCTTTCCAAAAACATTATTGAATTCTAGAAGTTCTTCAAGAACTTGTACGTCTGATAAAGGAGTAGGTGCAACTTTATGCTCCTCTTTACCATTAAAGGATTTTTTATCTCTTCTATATGGATGATCATGAGGCAAAAATGCTCGATGACCCAAATAACACATCTTATGACTATGTTTGAGATATTGGGTATAAGTGCTATGATTACAAGTGGGGCATGCCCATTTCCCTTTGGTACTCCATCCGGAAAGCATTGCCAATGCTGGAAAATCACTAATTGTCCACAATAAAGCTGCACGCATCATAAATGTTTGATTAGTTACAATATCATATGTTTCCACTCCTACTTCCCATAGTTCCTTCAACTCTGCAATCAGTGGTTGTAAGTATACATCAATATCATTTCCAGGAGACGATGGACCTGGAATAATCATTGACAACATTATATACTCCGATTTCATGCAAATCCGTGGTGATAAGTTATAATTCATCAACATAACCGGCCATGTGCTATGGGAAATGCTCATAGTTCGAAATGGATTAAAACCATCACTTGAAAGACCCAATCTAACGTTACGAGAATCACTAGCAAAGTCAGGGTGCAAGGAATCAAAATCCTTCCAAGCTTCTCCATCAGCAGGATGTCTTAAATTTCCATCTTTGGGTCGTTCAGTATCATGCCATCTCATAGCTACAGATGTTTCAGAACACATGAATATCCTCTGAAGCCTAGGCTTTAAAGGAAAGTACCTTAAAACCTTTGCTGGAATTTTAGTGACCTTATTAGTCAAGTCATCACGAACATTCTTCCATCTAGAAGATCCACACACTGAGCACTTGTCTAACTTGGCAGTGTCATTCCAGAATAAAATGCAATCGTTAGTACATGCATGAATTTTTTCATAATGAAGACCCAAATCTTTTATCACCTTTTTTGCCTTGTAGAAACACTTAGGTATCTGAGCAAAGGGAAATGCCTCTTTTATCAAGTCTAACAAATCTGAAAAGGCTACATTACTCAACTTGTGAATGCATTTAAACAAGTATAATGGAATGGCGAAATTCAACTTAGAAAAGTTCTTACACCCCGGATACAACTCTTGTTTCCCTTCTTCCACTAACTTAAAGAATCTCTTTGCATCTTCAGATAGTCCTTCTCTTACTCCTTCATGCCTCAAGTCATCTACGACATTTCTAAAAGTATCTTGAAGTAGTTTATCAATACCGTCTTGCCTGTCGAAATTTTCATCATCATTGGTTGGATGTGGCGTATTTCTTGAGGAAAACCCTTCTCCGTGAAAAACCCATTTGGTGTATCCATGAACAAATCCATGACAAATCAAGTGATCCTCCACCACATTTCGACAATGCCAATAACAATTAAAGCACTTCTTACAAGGACATAATATTTCATCTCCTTGGGAAGCTCGTTCAAATGCCTTATCTAGGAAATCATTAACTCCATGGATATACTCATCGGTGGATCTTCGGAGATCCATCCAACTTTTATCTCCAACATCCATTAAATATCCTATGTTACAAGCGTAAAACATTAAAGAAAACAATTCATTAGTACAAGCAGTATCAAGAGAACTTTACCTTTCAAAGTTTCAAGATATTTCTTTACCTTTTTGTTTCTAACAAAATCACAATTGTAAATGATCTAATTTAGGTCATTAGGTAATTGAAATTTAGTTACATAACCTATATTTTACTTGATAGTATAATTCCTCAATTTATTCTATAGTACATTGCAGGTACTGCCTTACTACACAGAAGAAGAATTATTATAGATAATAAGGTAAAAGTCATTCACAAAAATGGTAGAAAATGTCCTGATGAGATCATTTTAGATCACTTTAAACTATTAACCAAACAACAATACATATAAAAGTATCTCAGGGTAGTACTGATCCTAGAGCTAATGAACAACAGTAGAATAAATCTAGTGACTTGTCTATTGAGTGGTTTTTAACAATTAGAGTCTTTATCTTTTATCATCTTTTAAAGATTTTATTTATTACATGATATGTTACCTTTTCAAAAGTATATATATTATTTCAAATAAGCACCCAATTATAGATATTATTTGAAATGTGGGTGTCTTATTTTCCTGAAATAAAATTTTGAATGCCATCAAACTATAAATGGCAGATTGATATCACAGGGGACAACATCTTGACTGCATCTGCTACATATTCAGTCACATCAACTACGATAATATTCGGTGAACTCACTAGATTGAGGAAAGGAGAAATGATCTGGAACACTAGTAGGCTGCATAGACAAAGAGTTATATTATGCTTGGCCTTTTTAGAACAAGCTAGCAAAGTTTCCACAAAAACATAAAATGTTCCACTTAAAGGGGATGTGAAGTTTCTATCCCTTAGAGGACAGAGATGTCGAAAACGTACTTCTCATCAGTCATAAAACTAGAGAAATCACTAGAGTCATAAAGTGATGAAACAGATGCACACACTGTCGTTTGCCAGAACATGAAAGCTTAGGAACATGAAATTTTTCCAGCACATAAACAAACATACTAGAACAGTCATTACGTAGATACTATAAAAAAGTAAAAGAGATAACATGGGTAATAGGTTTCAACATCCAAAATCCAATAAAATGGAGTTTTCACCAACTGTTTTATATATATTCCCCATCAGTTGAAAAAAATGTTTTGTTCAACTTAACTTATCATCTATGACAGTAGCTATATCAGTAAACTTTGAAAACATTCATA